AGTTCCTCTAGACCATAGTGAGTGACCTGCAGCAAAATATATAGACTTCTCATCTGCAACTTGTTTGTTTCTTAAGAAAAGTGAGAGAAAGAAACAAGAAACAGCAGATAAGGTTACAGTTGATGATTGGTTTAAATTAAAGAAGAAGTGGATTCCCTTTGACTTGGGGAATTCAGTTGCAGCTTCACCTATGACTTTTCTTAGTCCCCATCAACTGCAACACCAGTAAATTCAACATTTCTAGCATGCAGATATTTCCCAGGAATTTTCATTTGGATATGGTGAAAAGTAAAAAGCAGGATGTATTCTGATTCTTCCCATATGATTAAACAGTCATGGACCCTCACCCTCAATAATTGTGGAGTAAGGTCATAGCTGGTGGCATTTATCACACCAGTAGTAGTCCCCCCCCTCCAGAATCTGTCATTCTTCTTTTCTTATGGCCAATCTGTTCTTGCTTTATCATAAAATTTGAATTAGCCACAGAAACATCAGTAGTGAACTGTTCTTTATATATAAGCTAATCTTATTATTATTATTATTATTATTTATTTTGAATAGTCTGAAGTGATTATAAAGTAGTATCTGATCATAATCTTTCTTAACCATTGACAACGCGTGCACACTTTACATATGCAATTGGTCAAACTCAGGACCTCAAGGGATAACAACACTTTCTTTAACCACCGAGGGCATTAAGTGGGTTCATAAATGCTATTCAATAAGCCATTTTTGAAGGGTAAAGAAAATAGAATTAAAGAGAACTTGACTTGTTCAAGTAGTCAAGTTTTGATATATGTTAAACAAAATTCATGATAGTTTTGGAGTACCGGAAAAGTTGGAAAATGGAAGAAGAAGAAGAAAAACCCTTTTCATTTTGTAAATATAGTCAATTGCAGCAACACCTTTTATGTCCCAAATGAGCTCGATCTTAGTAATGAAGCAATTATTATTAGTTAAGTGATTGTCACATGGGAAAGGCAATCACTTTACGTGGTGTATGAACACGTGGTAATATTCTATTAGTTAAGACAATGTGAAATCTAGCTTCTTATGAATAACACATGTAGACCATTGAATCGCTCATCTCTCTTCTATTTATTAAAATTTTAAAGCTATGAATGAATTATTATTATCTTTTGAAATTTCGAGTTTGAACATCACACATGTAAGGGTATAAGTATTTATTGTCAAACGATTGAGAGTCTTTAAATAAATATTATATTATATTTATCTCAGAATTATAAAACAAACTTTCAAAGTTTAAAACTATAAAAAAAATGACGTGATACTAAAATTAGTATTCAACGTTTATTAAAATGACAAATATTATTTTTGAAATGTTATCTGTTTGTTAACTAAATATTTCTATCTATAAATAAGCTTTTTTACCTAAAATAAATGTTGATAGTCAAAATACTACAAAAACAAAAATTAAAGTAATTATTTTATCAAATATCAAAGACTTTTTTTTTTGACATTACATAAAAAAAAATATTTGGACTTTTAGCTCAATTGGTTATAAAGTGAAAGGCCCAAAATGGGACCCTTAGGGCATTTAATTCATTTCCATTTTTTTTCTTTTTATTTCGTTCCTCTAACTGACCAACTACTCCCTCAGACTGAGTCGGCTCTCTTCTGCGGTTCTTCATTCAGATTAAGGTTAGATCTTTGAGTGTTTTATTTTTAATTCTCTTAGTCTTGTTTGTTTGCTTGGCTTGGCTTCGATGGATCTGTATCTGTCGATCTGGTGATATTGAAGTAGCTTTTAATAACAATTTCTTTTCGTTTTAGTGCTAAACCTGAAACATATAATGATTTATTTTCTGGATTATTTTTAAACTAAAACCAAAAGTCAAGGTCCAACTGGGTCCAGCTTTTACTTTGGGTTTCTAATGTGTAAATATGATGGATAATGGAAGAAAAACAACATCCTTTATTTTCTTTTCTATTGCCTTTTTTATTATATCGGGTGAAAACTCAAAACATATTGTTAGTTTCTAAGTATTAATGGTTTTTTCTGAAAATAATAAATACGGTTTACAACTTAGGATTTTGCCGTTCCAACAGAAAAAGTCGGCGACAAGGCCACAGTTGCCTCCTCCTCGTAACTTTCAGGAAGACGATGACGATGACGTAGAGAGATAAATTTCCAGCCAAACTCACAAGAACAAAGTTCTCAAGGAAATAAGTTTTACATTGATTTCCTTTATTCCCTTTTTTTCGATGTTTTTTTTTAAAAAAAAACTTAATTAGAATTTACCTTCTTTTGTTTTCGAAGGTAGAGGAGCAACATAAGAAAGCTTTAGAGAAAGATCTTTCAATGTTTGATTACGAAGGAGTTTACGACGAGATTAAAGAGAAGGTTGTTCGCCCACATATTCAAGATCGTGAAGAGAGAAAGATATGTTTTTCTAATAAATTTTAGGGTTTTTTTTTGTGGTTTCTAGTATTATTTACTTGCTATTAGCTTAATTATTCCCATTTGTTTGTCCATCCTCCTCGGTGCATATTCTACGTGACACTTCGGTGTAATTTATACGAGTTATGGTGACAACATTAGTGCACAGCCTCAATGCACTCACATACCTTTAAGTTCTCAATGATGTACCATGGGCTATTAAAAGAAACTATATAAATGAACAGTGATGACGATGATGACGATGATGATGACGATGACATATATATATATATATATATATATATATGTTTTTGTTATATGATGTGTTCTATGGTTTCTTTATATGATTTCATGAAATGCTTTGAATATGATTAAGTATTTTAATGTTTTATTACGTACTTTATATGTCTCATTAAGTCAACGACTTAGCGTGTGAGTGTTTAACACGTAGGTACAAAGAAGCAAGAAGAACATAGCTAGGATCAAACAAGATAACATATCTCTACGAGATGATTAGATCAGAAACGATTTACACAATATGTAATTTTGTTGTATAATATGTGTTGGCATGTAATAAAATGTTTAAATCGTATATGATGTGTTCATTTTTGTAAACATACATTGTTATATTTATGTAAATTATTAAGTTTTATTTTCAAATTAAGTTGAATTCTATTTATTTACTTTGATCAAGGGTTCCATCATTTTTATATAAATAAAAGTTTAAATTTTCAACTATATTTTAAAAGTAAAAGATTTGAAAAGTCAATGTGACACATCGGATTTGTATCCGGGTTGGGTGTGTTATAATTATTATCTTATTAATCGAGTTCTTTCACTTTAATTATCAGTTTAAACATTAAATGTTAGATTAAATCCAATATTAAGTTTATTTTAAATACATTAGTTAAATCTTAAAAACATATAAACTTGGAGAATGAACAACTTAAATATGACATGTTAAAAAATGATATCGAACTTTAGGAGGATTGTTATTCTTAGCTACCTCAATAGTTAAAGGGATGGTTCAAGCACTAGATACTGCAAAGATGTTTGAGATTTCATTGTCAAATTATTGAAATTTTTTAAAACATTTACATATTATAATCACCTTAGATTAATAAAAAAAATGAAAAAAATTAAAATATCATTATAATAATATTAATTATTATTTAAAAAGAGTATTTTTTATAATTGTCTAATTGAATCACCCTATTAATTAATACACAAACTCAATAAAAGATTTTTATTAGTAGGTCTTAGTAGGTCTTAAAGCCACCAAGAGGAAAGTGGAAACGAATACTCTACGAGAAGGAATGCGAGTTTTCTTAGTAGGTCTTAAAGCCATAACCTAAAAGAATATAAAGAAACAAATATGAACAATTTAATTGATATCTAACTTCTTAAGGAAACATCTATTTTATAATGGCTTAATATAAAAAATTGCCTAAACTATACATTTTTTTCTCATTTAGGTGCCTAATTTTTTTCCGATCAATATAGGTGCAAAGTGCATTGGTTGTAACGTCCATTAAAAAAACATGAACAATTTAATTGATATTTAACTTCTTAAGGAAACATCTATTTTTATAATGGCTTAATATAAAAAATTGCCTAAATTATACATTTTTTCTCATTTAGGTGCCTAATTTTTTCCCGGTCAATATAGGTGCAAAGTGCATTGGTTGTAACGTCCATTAAAAACATGTTTAGTGCCTAAATACAATTTTATCATATCATAGTCAGTATGTTAGCGTCCAGCTCAAACGATTGTGAATTTTTTAATAGAAAATGATGCTTTTGGAACATATAAATAGTTAGGTGATCATTTTATAATTTTTAATAATCAAATGACTCAACAAAACATCTCCCCTATAATCGGGATCATTTGTACACTTTACCAAAATATTATTTAAATTCATACAATAAATGATTAATGTTACTTGTAGAATTTAAAAAAATCATCATTAGTATATCAAATAATAATATTTTAAATTAATATTTTCATTAAATTTATAAATTTGAAGGTTAACTTAGGTTGTAATTATATTATATTAAAGTTTCATACAAATGTTTTAAGTTTTTACCACACATAGTTTTAATGTTTTAGTTCTTTTATTTAAAGATTATATCAAAGTATAAAAATATAAAAACATATTATTTTAAGTATTTATTTAAAATTTACAAAGGCATGAAATAACATAATTTTGAATTTTATATTTAAAATTTATATAATATCAAAGTAATATTAATTATAATTTAAAATAATAATTTTCTAATTGAGTAGATTTGACCTTTCCCGCTGGTCTGTGAACTAGAGGATGAAATAGATTTATCCAAGGATAAATCTCAACCATTAAATGAATAGGACTTTCAACGTGGCGGACATTGTGAATATCACGACCAAACCCAAAGAGAGGGACCCATGCTAAGTAGAGCCGAGTTGAAGAAAAAAAAAAGTAAAAAAAACTAGACAAAATCGGAAAAGGCCAGGGTAAGGGCAAAATCCCGTAATAAGAACAAAATCCAAGGGCAAAAGTAGGAGGTTCACAATATTTAAATGAGCAAGAAAGCAAATGAATAAAAGGTTAACCAGAAATCCAAAAGAACCCTTGTTTATCTATCTCTCTCTCTCTCAATTTCTTTGGTGGATTTCTCTTGACGTGGCGGTGTTGTCTTTCTGAACTATCCTTTCTTCTTCATCATCTTGTCGATCTACACCTATCTGTAAGTCCCTTATCTCTGAATCTGAAACCCTAAGTTATCCATAATTTTTGCCCTTCGATGTGCATTTTTTAAGATCCATAATTTATCTCAATTTTTTGTGTTGTTTTATTGATTCATTGTATTGCATGTAGGAAATTATTGGTTTATCATTGGATTGTGAATTCGATTTTTCTTGGTATTGGATTGAAAATCCATTTTTTTCTTTTGAGATTTCTCTAAGTGCCTTTTATTTTTTGGTCTTCTAATTGTTCGACGCTTACTTTCTTGATTAGTTTTTCTTTTTTCCTGGAAATATAGGGTTCAGATTATTTAAGTGAAATAGGAATTTCTATGTTTGACTTGCGATTTATCAAAAAAAAAATTATAACCGAGATTCGCGTGAGCGACGGGACAACTATAGTCTCATGATGTGGATATAGATGTAGATATATATATTAGTTGTAGTTATTAGTTGTATTACTTTTACATTTAAAGTTGAAATCTGTTGTCACAAGAGGGAACCTGCTGCCTGCACATTAATTATATGAATTCGATTCTATATGATCATGTTAATGGGAAAATGATGGTGGAAGACGATTAATTATTGATGAAAAAATTATGATAGATAATAGTTAATGACTATTTATCCTTTTGGTTTAGATAAAAAACTATGATCAATAATCTAGCAGACTGAAAAAGATGAAAAATGTGAGGAGGAAATTCTATGAGAAAACCCTAGAGAGATAGATCTCAATCCCCCACCATCAGTTTTGTGTAGTGATTTAAATATCGACTTTTAGTATTGGTGATGATGCTATTTGTAGGTTGATATAACCAAATAGATTTATTGATTATATAGTAGAGCACAGATCATGTAGGTCTAATAATGGTAACATCACGAGACTATAATTGTCCGAAAGATATAAAATTAGAGGAAATCTGGAAGAAGTACATCGAGTTCTATAATTCGATCCAAGTTTAAATATGACACAATATATATATATCAAGCATCATATGTGGATATAGATGTAGCACCTTCATCTATCCGTAATGTCATCATTTATGATTTTCTATTGTACATGGCTGCCTGAACCTGTTTCATGTGCTGCTTAACATGAATGCAGGTAAAAGAAGAAGAAACACCATGTACGCTTACATGTTAATTTTGGTGTAAGATAACAACAACAGACAACCTCCAGCATCTGACGATCCCAACTCTTCCCCCTGCCCCGCCGCCTCCTCGACTCCGCGACCGAGATTCGCGTGAGCAACGAGACCGCGATTTCTACGATCGCAACTGCTCTCCCCCGCCTCCGCCTCCTAGAGAGAGAGTAATTCCTTGATATGCTTTGTCTTGTTTTCCCCCCCAAGTTTCAGTCATTCATTTAGCTATAAAGAAATCTCTTGTTATTCTAGTATCACCATAGAGCTGTAGAGTGTAGGTATGAAGACATGCATTCATTCACTGTTAGATACTGATAAACAAATATGAGATAAATATATAATTTTTTTTTCTCCAGAAAAGATGAAGAAGTACGGTTTACAGCTGAGGGTTCCGCTGTTCCAACAGAAAAAGACGGTGACAAGACCACCATTACCTCCTCCTCGCGGCTTCCAAAAAGACGACGATGATGACGTGGAGAGAGAGATTTCCCGCCAAGCTCACAAGAACAAAGCTCTCAAGGAAGTAAGTTTCACATTGATTTCCTTTATTCTCCTTTCTTTCGAGGATTTTTTTTTTTTAAAAATAACTTAATTGGAATTTACCTTTTTTTTCGAAGGTAGAGGAGCAACATAAGAAAGCTTTAGAGGAAGATCCTTCGGTGTTTGATTACGATGGAGTTTACGACGAGATGAAGGAGAAGGTTGTTCGCCCCCGTCTTCAAGATCGCGAAGAGAGAAAGGTATACTTTTCTAATAAATTTTAGGGTTTTCTTTTTGTGGTTTCTAGGATTATTTACTTGCTATTAGTTTAATTATTCCCCTTTGTTTGTCCGCCCCCCCCAAACAAAAAAAAATCGAAATAAATAAATCTGTATGTACATTGCAGCAGGTACAATTTCACTTAACAACTGCTCAAATCTAAAAAAAGATATTCTACAATTACTCAAAACTAACCTGGAATTAATCATCAATTTGACTGGTGATAATGTTGACTGTTTTGAGCAGCCAAAATATATTCATAACTTAATGAAAAAAGCGGAGCAACGGAAATGGGAACAGGAGATAGTATACGAGAGGAAGCTTGTGAAAGAGAGAAGTAAAGAGGATCACCTTTACTCAGACAAAGATAAGTTTGTGACTAGTGCCTACAAGAAAAAGCTTGCTGAGCAGGCAAAATGGATGGAGGAAGAACGCCTACGACAACTTCGAGAGGAGAAAGAGGATGTAAGTGTAGCTTTTTCTGTTGTTTGCTTTCCACTTCTTTGTTTATGGGTTTGGTTTTTACTTTTATTGTATGTTACAACATTTATGATCGAATGAATTGCTATTGATTCCTAGGGTGGTTAGCATGCTGTTGTTAATCTAAATATGTTGATTCGAGTGTCCCAAATAAACAAATTGATTTTGTTTTTATCTGCCGGGACTGGAAATTTTGAAGCATTGTTTGAAAGTGAATTATATTGAAAAAACATTAAGTGCAGATAGCATTAATGGTATAAGTTCATATTGAAAAAGACTGTTCACGTGTATCTATCAGTTGGGTTGCTTATCATTTATGGGATTATAAATTTACATGTTATTAGAATTAGCTAAATGCAAGAAAATGAATTTGGGATACATAATCTACATTTAAAGTTTATTTGTTAAGTGGGAATAAATAGGGTGTTCTTTTTCGGTATTTAATTCCCCAATTTTCTTTCTGTTTCCTGTCTGTATGTGATTGGTTTACTTTAACTCTTAAATTTCCAATTCTGTTGTAATTTATCTGGTTGATGACCATTTTTTTTTGTTTTAAAGGTTACCAAGAAGAGTGACTTGAGTGATTTTTACTTCAACCTTGGTAAAAATGTTGCGTTTGGGGCAAATGAATCAAAATCAAGAAAACTTGAATTAGGGAAACTTGAGAAGGAGAGCGAGAAAGATGCATCCAATAGAGATCAGCCGTTGCCTGAACCAACTGCTCCCGAGTCTTCTGCTATGACTGACCAGACTCGAGATGAAACAGGTTCTAGAGAAATATTTGAGTCTCGAGATTCGAAGCCAATAACCAAAGATATACTTCCAGACAGTACAATACAGGAGAACACTTCAGAGAAACAACCGTCTGTTGATGGACCAAAAAGCAACCATCATAAAAGAGGTGAAGATGCAGTTGCAGCAGCTAGAGAACGTTTTCTGGCACGCAAGAGGGCAAGGGAGCAATGATATGCTTCCTCTCTCCGACAACGGATTTATGATGTGTTATAATTATTTACGATGTTGCAAATTCTAGACTCAAGTTTTTGGGAAATTACTTTGCTGTCAGAACCCAGGTTGATCATGAATTCACCATGCCAAGAGAAGCCACTGTTATGATATCAATCATGTATTCGGAAGTTGGCATCTGATATCAATGTCCAAATATATGTTTGAAAACGGTTAACATAAATTTTAAGTGAAAATGTAGATGTTAGATATAGATTTGTATCTGTATTCTTTGTCCATTTCCTCTTCTCCTGACCCTGCCGCATTGCTACGTTTGGCGGTGGCCATGGTCTTCCTTTGCCATCTCAACTTGAGCTCAATCAATTCCCACAGCCAAATTTACCTCTACTTAGGTTTATTCAAGGAAGGATAAAAGTAGGGTGTAATATTAGATTCTAATATAAGATCATAGTGTTTGATTCAATAATATTATTTACTAGTTGTAATTTTACATTATAAACATGGTGTTGATCAAAGTGCGGGATTATTTTTTAGGGTGCTTAAATGGGTTAAAATGATTATTTTATTAAGCTAAAAAGTAACAGTGATATCTGACATGTCATGTCAGGTAAACTAACGGCGATCTTACTGAAAACGAAGTAAAAGTTTGGTGATTGTATTATAAATTTTAAAAATTGGGTGAACAAAATACAAGATCCTTAAAAGTTAGGTGACCATTTATGTAGTTTACCCTAAAATTAATCACAATATATTATGAAATCTAGTAGATATAATATTTTAATATGAAAAAAACGAAATTCTACCGCCGACGATCCAGCACGACCGGTTCCATCCAGACGACACACAGTTGACTTACGTGTCAAAATATAAATGGAGTAATGTGGAGGGAGAGAGATATTTAGCGGATCAAAAATATCTAGTTAAGTCGTCGACGTTGGCCCCATCGCTACTCCGATCTGGAATCAGATATTCCACTTTTCCTTTCTCTTTTTCTTCCATCTGAAAAGGAATTTTCTTTTTTCTTTCCTCCCAAACAGCCCCCACTTTCACGTCGTTATTTGATGTATTCTCTCTCTCTCTCTCTCTCTCTCTCTCTCTCTCTCTCAATTTCTTTGGTGGATTTCTCTTGGCGTGGCAGTGTTACCTTTCTGAACTATCCCTTCTTCTCCACAGATTCATCATCTTGTCGATCTACACCTATCTGTAACTCCCTTATCTCTGAATCTGAAACCCTAAATTATCCATAATTTTTGCCCTTCAATATTTATTTTTTAAGATCCATAATTTATCTCAATTTTTTGTGTTGTTTTATTGATTCATTGTATTGCATGTAGGCAATTATTGGTTTGTCATTGGATTGTGAATTCGATTTTTCTTGGTATTGGATTGAGAATTCATTTTTTTTTTCTGTTGAGATTTCTCTAGGTGCCTTTTGTTTGTTGGTCTGCTAATTGTTCGACGCTTATTTTCTTGACTAGTTTTTCCCTTTTCCTGGAAATATAGGGTTCAGATTATTTAAGTGAAATAGGAATTTCCGTGTTTGACTTGCGATTTATAAAAAAAAAATTGTAAGTTTTGGTTGCAGTGTTTTTTGTAAATTGAATGGGAATTTTGGTAGTTCTGGTAAATTATTTTGCTAAGTTCAATTAAGGTTTCAGTGACTTTGTAGAGTATAATAGTATTATTGTCCTTATGTAATTATTTATTTGTTTTGAGGTTTCAGGCAATCATGAGTGACGAAGGAGAAAAGACCTGTCCCCTTTGTGCGGAAGAGATGGATTTGACTGATCAGCAACTGAAGCCTTGCAAATGTGGTTATGAGGTCTGAATTATTTTTCTCTTTTTCTTCTAAAATATTTTTACATTTGTTTGCGCATACAAATAAACTGAAAAGAAGTAAAAATGTCATAAATAAATATCAAATTGGAAAAAGGGGGTGACAATTTGTGTCTTCGGCCTTACCTATTTTGATCTTTGAGGCAGATATGTGTTTGGTGTTGGCATCACATAATGAATATGTCTGAGAAGGATAGTACAGTGGGGAGGTGTCCAGCATGTCGTAGTGCTTATGATAAATGCAAGATAGTAGGAACGACTGCTAATTGTGAGAGGTTGTTAAGCTACCTTGCTTTTTATTCTCATTAAATATTTTGCAACATTTGCCTGCCATCATCTCATGTATGTTGTTTCAATAAACAGGTTGGTGGCTGAAGTTAATATGGAAAGAAAAACGAAGTCGCAAAAAGCAAAGACTAAATCATCTGAAGGAAGGAAGCAACTGAGCAGTGTGCGAGTTATTCAAAGGAATCTTGTTTACATTGTGGGGTTGCCACTTAATCTGGCAGATGGGGAGGTACTCTCTTTCCATCCTCACTTTCTACATCTGCAATCTACTGGTGATATTTGACCTAAGCTAACATCTCTTCTGTGCAGCTTCTCCAACGTAGAGATTATTTTGGTAGTTCTTAAAGTATCTATGTCTCGGACTGCAGCTGGTGTCATTCAGCAATTTCCAAACAATACATGTAGTGTGTAAGTACTAAGTACATTATCTAATGTATTTGGTTTTAAGTCATCCAAACATTTAGACCTTGTTTTATGCATTGTTTTTTAATAGAAGTCATTGTATCATATATATCTTACCATTTTGTAGTGTTCTTTTTGCCTATTTTCTGAACCCCTGTAACTAAGAAATTTATTTTTTTCAACTACGTTTGTTTATACTGTAAACAGATATATTACATACTCAAAAGAAGAGGAAGTGATTCGTTGTATCCAGTCTGTACATGGATTTAACTTGGACGGTAGACCATTAAAGTACGGGAATGTGTTTGTGGAGTTATTTCTTTTGTTATTGGTTGAATGCATATGCGGTCTTGGTTATCTTCTCTAATACTTGAAATGTTCATTTCAGGGCATGCTTTGGTACAACAAAGTATTGTCATGCATGGTTGAGAAATGTGGTATGTTTAGAAGTGATTTTTGTTTAATTTATTTTGTGAATTTAATGTTGTTGTTTCCGCTAGTTATATAAATTACTATAAAAATTAGTTATGAAAATTTACACACTAATTTATGATATTTTACTCAAAAGGCTATACTCTATCTTCTCTTCAAATTGGTAGAGACTTAATTCATTTAATTAATTGCCAAAATAGTTTGAAAGCATTAGTCACAGTAAAATATTTGACATGTAAAAAAAAAAAATCTAGAACTTAAGTATTGGACAAATTATGAAAAGTTTGTGATTTGCCAGCTTGTAAAATTGCAAAATAGGAAGGAAGACAATGATGGTAATAATATACTAGGAAACATGATAAGCTTTGTTATTGTAATAGAAAAATAATGAAGTTCTTTTTGGGTTGCAGCCTTGCACCAATCCTGATTGTCTATATTTGCATGAGATTGGTCCACAAGAGGATAGTTTCACAAAAGATGAAATCATATCAGCCTACACAAGGTAAATTGCTTGAGTTTTCCTGTCTTCTTTGTTTTTTCTGTTGTACATGTAACTTATTTTTGAGATGAAGAAAATCAACAAGTTGATGTTTTCTGATTTTAATGATTTTAATTTCATTCTTCATTTATTGGTAAAAACAATTAGAGGTGACATATACATGCATGTATACTTTTTATGGTAGCCCATGTGAAAGGGTGCTATCATATGCTCCGAGAAAGCCTTTATACGCCCCATTATATTGGAAAGTATGTTAGAATGGCATTTGTTAACTTTTATTTCTTTGGAATATTGGCGTGTCATTTTTGATAATGCTTTAAAAGGGTTCTGGCCTCCCATTGGTTTTTCTTGGGGATAGTTTGACATTGCTTTTGAAAAGTATGGTTTCAAATTGTAGTGTTCAGTATCGCTGTCAAAAAGTCCTTTCGAGAATACAAAATGTCTATTTTAGACATGGTATTATAAAATGAAAATAAAATAATTTAAATGATTTTTTTAACTTATTAATAAAATCTTAATTACTTTTTTAAACTATTAATATTTTAATAATAATGATAACAGTAGAAACAATTGTTCATCTATTAAAAGAAAAGAACACACACACACATATATATATATGTATACATATGATATAATAAAATGATTAATAAAGAAAAAAATAAAAAGGATGAAGAAAAGTAATAATAGAAGAAATATGAAAGAAACAAACCACATAGATTTGTTCTTTGGCTGCAGGTTAAAAATAGAAATTGCCCCAAATGCATTTTTCCAAGCGCAAAAGCTCAATTATTTGGCGTTTCTGTTTGGTTTAAAAAGCACGTTTATAAAGAATATTTAGAATATTTCCCCCGAAATGCCGAGTGTTCTTTATTGCTTATTGAGTGAGAAGGTGCTTTTGGCTTTCTAAACTCAATAACGAACGGGCCCTTGGATCCTCGCTCATTCTTTTTGCAATCACTGTACGTTAAAAGGTTTCTTTTTTAATAAAATATGTTTACTATTGTAGTCTTCACTTTTCAAATAGGGGTTTCAAGTCAAATTTAGATTTCTTTGCTCTTCTTTGAGGTTTTTATTGCAACATTTCATTTCTAAGCATGCATTCAGGTTTCTTGCTTAATTTTGAGTAATGTCTTCTCTTGCATGATTGATAAACATAATTTTTTAAAGGAATAGGCTTCAACAAGTAACTGGTTCAAAGTTTTGCATGATTTATAACTTAATTAGTTGTTTAAAGTAGGGTTCAACAAATAACTGGTGCAACAAACAATATGCAACGGCGTCCTGGAAATATATTACCTCCTCCAGTGGATGATTATTGCCCCAATAGTTCTGCTTCTGCAGCAAAACCAATTGCAAGTCCTCCAAATGTAAGTTCACGTTTGTAATTCCCAAACAAAAATTGGTAGGTAAAATAGTACACAGAGTTCAGGAAAATAGTTTAGTTGTGCTCTGCTTGCTAGCAGATTTTTTCCAAACTTCTTAATAGCGTGTTTGTTTCTAATCTTGAATGATTGCAATAAGATTTGTCAAATAATAGCATGGGTGGGTTGAGGTGGCAATGAATCAAAGCACCATGCATACTTGGTCTTGGTTCCTGCAACTAACCTGGTTGTTATTTTATATATTGTGCAGAACGCAACAGAGACTGTTCCTAAAAGTTCTCCAAATGGAAGCTGTGGTAGATCTATCGCACTCCCTGCTGGAGCATCATGGTATGCTATTTGATTTGTTCTGTGACAAATTGTTATTTTAATTGCTGGTGCTGAAAGTTGCGAATCATTCTGCCAGGGGGACGC